TTCCGTAATTTTATTAAATTTAAATAACTGCTTCCAATACTATATAAATTCAAAACATTATTAAAGTTAGTGTAATTCCATTAAATATGAATTTATTCTGAATAGCGTATTTAAAAAAAATTAAAATGTTCTTTATATGTAAATAAATATGCTATTTTTCTAAATAAACATAAACAAGTTCACTACAAAATTTAAAAGGACATTGACATTTATATGTTTATTACTTTGGAGTTTGATTGAAGTCGCTAAAATTTTCTCTAAATTCTTCTTACGAGTAAGAATATAATAAGCACATTTATGAAAATGTGAGTATAGTAGATTTGAGAGTTACTCTACATCTTAAAATTGTAAGTACCAAGAATTAACTTTGATTCGAGGTGGCATTCAACGACAACTTACCTCGATAGTGCGGTTGAACATAATAGTTAAGTACCTCTGCTCAGAATTGTTAGATTTTTAATGTATAAGCGTGTAAGTATCTATATATCTTCTTCTTTCATATATATATCTATACACACCTATCTTATTAAAAAGTTTTAATGCTTTGTCACTTTATAGCCTTTTAGAAGATATTAATTCACAAATTTATACTAACAATATATAATTCTGAATAAAATATATTTTAATATATGATTTCATATATGATTTTAATATAATGATTTTATATTTTCTACTCTGCAATAATAATCAACTTTATAGATAACTCAAAGGGTCACACATGCACTGTAGCGCACGACTAACTCTTTTATTGTTTTTAACTACCTTTTAGATATCAGTATCAAATATCCTCTCTCATTCATACACATTTTACAAATAAACTTTAAAATCAAAGACTTATGACACAAAGAGCCCAAATTTCATCATATATTTTATTTATAAGTTTCATCCTTTTTATTAAATATAATTCATTCAAGTTTCTCAATTGAATTACAGTATGGAAGTTAGCATCATCATTTCTCGGATAGTGTTTCTTATTCTACTGAGACAGATGATAGCGTTCGATAATGTTGTGTCTGGAGAAAAGGTGACTTGTACTCACTTGCATGTGAACCGACTACTAAAGGCAAAATGTTACGATATGAATCTTAAGGAAGTACCACAATATCTTCGGACAGGTGTCGAGGTAAGTACTTTTTTAAATTATATATCTTTAAATAATTTGTCATTTATTTTAAATATATGCAAGAGTTAATTTTTGACTTGAAAATGGATTTTTGTTGATTTGCATAAGCTAATTGCTGAGTTTATGCTAAATTTTTATTTGATCCCACGTGGTTGATGTTTCTAAAAGGTCAATTTACTTGAATTCAAAAGAAATTCAATTCAAGATAAAGCAAAAATATATTCTATATACGTCTTAAGTAAGCATTTTGTCATAAGCACAAACAAAATTTCAGCGATATTCAATTAAACTTAATTAACCCACAAAGACATGTCGCGTTACTTAAGTGGACAAATGCGGGCATGATTCACACTATCACTTACTGAAAACCAGTTATGGCATAGATTTTGTTTAGAAGAATACTCAGAATGTATCTTTAAATATTTAGCTTAAATTTAAAAATATGATTTTCAAGAATTTACAAAATGCAGTTAGTTCTTAAATATCACCTTTAATATTGGTGATATTCATTTTCAATCCATCACTTACTTTTTCTTCTACAAAAACGTCACATATTCTTTAAGTTTGTAGTTTTAGTTGTATTGATTCTGAGAAATTTCAACACTTTATAATGTGGCTGTACCGATCGGTTGTACCGGAATTGACACATTGTTCTATATATTTGTTATGTCAAATCTAAGATTTAAGATATATCTAAGATAGATCTCAGAAAGTGGGAATTATTACGAGACACTGCCCGTTGGGAAAACATGCCGTGAAGCTCTATATCAGGACCTCCTTGTTCTGTAGACATTGCATGGAGGATGACGAAGAGGAATTACCAACACACCTTCTGTTACAGACTCTCCTATTTAGGGTCGCCCATTTTTTCAATTCATTAAGAGAGCTGAATTCTATTCCTTAGCTCGTGGCCAGGGTATCACAATGGACCTAATGGTCTAAGTACGTTTTCGGACTTCCCCAGTAATCTAACCTATGTCAAATATGTACGGGACTATCACACTTCCAGACCAAACTTTGTTACGTTGTATGGATATGATGAAAATCTGAAAATTACTTTTAGATTTTCACTGTCTCACATATGTCTATTTTGTTGTTTAACATATCTATTACGCGAAAAATGAGCCTCATTATATTTCTAGTTTATTGTTAATTTTCTAATTCTTTTTTTAAATTCTTACTTTTAGTTTTAATTGAATGAGTATATCATAACTTTTACGTTCAGACTTAATTTCACCAATACATAACAAAAATTATCTTTTATCTTTTTCAGATATTTTCACATATTATTTCATTAATTTTAATTAAAGCAATTTTGTTAAATTTACCTAAAGCAGCACAATAATTTTGTAACTATTTAATTAATTACAGATATTGGATTTATCATTCAATCGCATAAAAAAATTAAAACGAAATTCATTTCAACATTACAAAAAGGTGAAGTACTTGCTGCTCTATGAAAATATGATACAATCGGTAGAACCGGGCACATTTCGAGCTCTCACCTCATTACAGGTAATTCCAAATTATTTTATTGCATTTCGAATGCAAACAAAATGGAAAATTAAAAAAATTAATTATTTGTTTTGTTGAAAAATATATTACTTTATCATATCACTGTCATAAAATGATATATAAATTAATTAATATCTTTCAGGAAATTGATCTATCGAACAATGCACTCATGACAATCCCATTAGAAATATTTCAACTACCCTCACTACGTAATTTATATGTAGATAGTAATGAACTTATATATTTAGACAGAGATTTAGAGGTAACTGTTATATGTTAATAAACTAGAATATTTAACTATAATAATATGCAATTATTTTTTTTCTTTTTCCCTAAAGACTTTGCAAAAACCTATACAAGCGCCCTTAGAATATATAAACTTAGCTGATTGTGCACTTAACGATCTGCCTGACTTGGGTATAGTACCAAGTATGTAATTAATTAAATTATTACATTTCTTTTTATTTGATTCATTTATTTTATTTTAGATATCTGGCATGTTAATATATCAAAAAATCCTTTGACTGAACTCACTATGAGTAAATTTGCCAATATGTGCAATTTAAAAAGTATCGATTTGACTAAAACAGATATGTCAATTTGTTCATGTCAGCAAGTTAATAATCACTTGCGATTTGTGGATGCAGATACAAAATTTGTACCAATTTGTAGAGGTAAGTTATTTTTGAAATAAATTGCTATATCGTTATTTTTAAAATTCCCGTTTCTCCGGATCCGACTTCTCAACATCTTTGTTAATTGAAAAATAAATTGTTTTAAAGTCCTTAAACGATCTGGCCAAACCTGGACACAGACACATCAGGTGTTCTGGTGTCCTTTCCTCGAGAGAGAGACACGTATTGCAGGAGATATCACAGGGTAGGACAAGTCTAGGTTCATTAAAATGTTTTTGTGTCCGAATGTCAATACGACATAGCTTTTATCTCAGATTTCTGAGATTTCTGATTGTGCAATTTTGGTGCTTACCAATCTTATCGAAAATTTTCATTGCTTTATTTTTAGTTATTTGTTAATCGTATCTACTCGTAAGTCTATATGAATTTTTTTTATTTTTAATATATTATTGAACTATTCTGTAACTAAATGTAATCTTTATATAAATGTAATTTATATAAAGAAATGCTATTTGAATAAATTCACATATAAGAGTGTCTACTTTCTGTTGTTAATTACCTATAACAATAAAGGTATGTAACAAATATGTAACTGTAACAAATCTTAGAGAGGTCCAACAACGGCCGAGTCTACGTTCGAGAGCCACAGATAAAATGTAAGGATTACAAGACGAATGGGTAGGGGAGTGGATGTGTGGCGTTAGAATTCAGGGGATAATAGAAAAAGAAGAGGGAGGATATAATTGAAATCGATCAGGGTCCAGTCGTATAAACCTCGCTACCTCATATGGATGAGTCCAAAGTTCGATTAGACTTAAATTAGTGTGTACAGTGAGACAAAAGAGCAGATAGGCGACGTCATGGGGGATAGAGCTGCACACATTAGGAATGGACGTGTTTATACGTGACAAGTAACTGTTTAGCACATGGCTATATCCAAATCACAATTGTGCTCGGACAGTCCTTGCTGCATGGGAGCCACTCGTCGACCTCGATCACTAAATGTCGTTCAAAACCCCCCAAAGAAACTACACAGGCTAATCTCAGCGGGTTATTACAACAACAACAACACATGAAACATTATTTTTCTTTAAAATCTATATCTAAAAAATTCTCTACGTTATTCTACGACTATAATATTGTTATATATATTGTTTAATATATAGAATATATATATCCATACTTAACTCATAAAAATATATATACTTTTTTTAGACTCTCTTGATCTTAATATTTGCCCATTGCCTTACAACGAAACTATTAAATCGACTACTTTTGAGCGCTGTAAGCGTACTGCGGCTCTGGAAGAAGCGCGTAGCACTTGGTTTTTTATTGCTGGTTGTGTTGGAGGTGGTATATTGGTGCTGCTCAGTAAGTATATAGCTACGAATAACATATAATAATATTTATATTATTATTATTTTTTAAAACATTTTCCATTGCAGTTGTGATATGCTGTTGTCATCGAAGACAGAAACGAAAGAAAAACGATAAGAAGAAAATTTTAGCTAAAAATCGTAAGGAATTAATTGTGTCACCTGCTAATGCCATACACAATGGCCATGTAAACAGTCATGAGAATGAACTTTTACGTTGTGATAATGCGTAGCAATGAAATATAAATTATTTAAAGTTTAGAAATAAATATATAATAATTATAAACATTGTTGTAAACATATTCATAATTGTTATACATAATATAGTAGTTCTAATATAGATTTAAGTTTGCCACATGCAGCAACTACCAAAAATAGTTGTTAAACTAATAAAATGAAAATGAAGTATTATTTTAGTTAATTATATTAGTAATAGTTAATTATTAATAATGAACTAATAATGTTGATGTTAGATAATGTTAGTAATTACTTGTAATGTAGTATTTGTACCATAACTCCATTAAGCAAACATGAAACCGATAAGACGTTAAATGCCAAACTCAAAGTGCCTTTATTTTTTAAGAACATTTTTCATATTTTAATCTAATACAAAGTATTTAACATAATTTGTAATTGTTATTAATATTTAAAATACAATATACCAAATATATAATAAGAAAAAAAAATACAATTATTTTATTAGGATTATTAGTTTGATAAATGTTTAATTCAGACTATAATTACTATTTCTTAGATCAGCGTATCTCAACCACCAGTCCGCGGCATTACTACCACCGATCATTAAAATGCTATTTATATTTCTTAGAGTATTTTCAAAGAAATTAAAATAAAAATCAAATATTATAATATTTGAAAAAATATATTCAATTTATTTTATATTTTTTAACTAATAAAAAATATACAGACTACATAAAACTTATATATCCGCAAAACCTTTTAGGTTGAGTATCACTGACTTGCAGTACTTTAGTTCTTCTATCAAATAAAAAGTTTAATTATTGTATTATAAACTTCATTAAATTAAATTTGTTTAAATGTAATGCTAATACATAAAATAAGATGGTCTTATCTTAAATGAAAAAAGGTAAATAATTTATTTTCAAATAATTTTGTTAGACTAAATAAATTTCTTTTAGTTTCCATTTAAAATTTATAGATGAGTTCAGGTAAAAAGTCTTAAATAATTATAAGTAAAAATTAATTTATTAAAAATAATTTATAACTACCTTAACGGATATATCTATTAAAACTATGTTAAAGCTTTGTTACAAATTTATTTAAAATATATTTACAAGCACATATCGTATAATATATGAATAATACAATAACTATATATTTATATACGTCTGAAGATATTTAGTATTTCAAAGAAATCTAATTATTATTTAGTTTAGGAAGTAAATTAGAAAACAGAAATTAAATTTATTTATTTTAATGTAAAAAAAAACAAATTTAAATTTGATTCCAATTAAATTTATTTAAAGTCAATCATAAACTTAAATATTTTCAAATAAAAATGAAAAAAAAAATTAATTTATTAATTAATTGATATTTTTGACTACAATATAGTAATTTAGAATATTGTCAAATAGCCATTATCAGTAATCTTAAAAATTTTTTTTAAAATTAATTTAATACATATAATTTTACACAATTTTTTATACTATTAGCACCAAGAGTTAAACTTTCGCTCCTAAATTAAAAACACAGAGTCACGCTTTAGACACCCGATATTGTTGTTGTTGTAACCCGCTGGGACCTGCAAGCAGATAACATGAAAGGATACACAAGACGATTACATGAGTAGGAAAGTGGGTGGGTAGAGGATAAGGGAGATGAAGGAGCAGAAAGGAGGATGTGGAGAAATAGGTTGGGAGGTTTATATTGAACATTATCCCGAATTTAGGCGGAGAAAACCAGTCACTTCCATGGGGTGAGTCTAAAAGTTAATTAGACGAAGGTTAGTGTGCGCAGAAGGCACAGAGTTAGGCGACAGCATGCGGAGAAGAGCTGCAGTTAGGGCACATATTGGAAATGGACGTGTTTATACGTGACAAGTAACTGTTTAGCACTCGGCTATATCCTGATCTCAATTAAGCTAGGACAGTTCTTGCTGTATGGGGGAGACAATGTTCTTCTGGGGGAAATTTAGACACCCGATCCAGCACTGTACTTGATTTTTGTTATTCAAAATAAAAGTTTTGTTCATTTGTTATTCCAACGATCAATGATTGGAATAATATATTTTATATTTTATAGAATCCATTGACCCATAAATTCATTTGTATTTCAGTTAAATTCATTATTGTATACTTAAAATAAAAACTTTTAAGTTCAATGTCCTTTCATTTTTAATACGGGTACATCCAGAACTTTTTATTTTACTACCCAAACCAGGAAAAATTGAAACAACACAAATTAGCACAACACAACACGCAAAGTTCGCATTTGTTGTCAGCAATTAAAATCAATGAACTAAATAACAATAGTACAGGATATCTGCATGTACTATCCCGCAGGATAATGCATATTTGTCATACATGATTTTAGTAGTATTTTAGCCGTTTATTAAAGCAGTGCTATTAGTAGGGATTTCTATACCACGGAAAATGTTAATTTTTTACAACAAAAAAACAAAATATTCTTTAAATAAATTCATAATTTTAATATTATTTTCTCAACATTTAATAATTGATGCATTTCTTAAAAGTGTTAGAGTTGAGGAAATACCTTTTGGTCTGACCGAAGCAGACAGAAATCAAGCAAAACCAAGAGAAACCAATGCCAAAGAGGCACAAGGCATTTTTGCGGTGTCAAGACTTGAGGATCGACGCAATTTCATACATATATTTCATGTACCTTGTGAGTGGTCAATTTTTAAAACCTATAATTTTATTATATATATATATATATATACTAACTTAAAAGTATATATAAAAGATAGCATGTGATTTTAATATGCTTATGCTTTACTTACTTATAGATATTGTCTGTTTTTTTGCTGCTAAAGGGAAATGGCCTTTTATACCGCCCTTATTGCAGTTGCGCGTTGATTCTCTTGCGAAATCTATCTTTAATCAAACAGATTCATTCATAAGGAATTTTTGCAAGAAATGGATTCAAATTAAGGAATGCTTTCGTCCTATATTTGGTTTGTATTTAAGGAGAGTTCTTTCTTCAAATTGTTCGTATGCTAGCTGTTTCACACCTCTACCTTTAGGGTGGTTTTTTCGCATCTATTTGAAATAGCATACGGACAGTATCTCATTTATGATATCAGAACGGACACTATATTGCCACTCTAACGTAACTCAACCTAACCTAAATGTACTTTTTTCGTTATAGGTAGCAATTCGACAAGTAATGATGTTGAGGCTTTTGCTCCATTGCTTGCTACACCATGTACATGTGCCGACCAATCGATTACTTATTTCGACAAGAAGTATATAGGCAAAGTGAGCTCTCAAACAATATACAATACTATTGAGTTTCTGGAAAGCTTTTTGCCTTCACCAACAAAAAAGACAAAAAGAAAGAATCGTGTGCGTGGACGTTTGGATGAAATTGAAATAGATTAAACTAAATTAAATGCAGATAATTGTATATAATAATACGTAATAAGATATATTTCCATATGTTCAATGTGTTCAATATGCTAAAAAAAAGTCATAAAAAATTTGAACAAAATTTACTTTTTAATAGATACAAAATATTAATCTTATTTAATATATAGGAATTTATATGAATACTTTTAAAAACTTTTTCACATACACACTATTACAAAATTATAGTACGTTTGTTATTAAACAAATAATACATACACATTTATATATATAAACTAAAAATTAAAAACAATTAGAAATAAATATTAAGAATGCATTGAAGTAACGATATTTACAAAAATTGCAATAAATTATATAAAACAAAATCGTAAAGATACATTATATGCTACACAGCTACAGATTGACTTTCTGTAGTAGTAACTGTATTTTTAATATACTTAGGAGAACTTGTTTCCTCCAAAATTGCATCCCATAAATGCACACGTTCTACATTAAATTTATTCTCAGTCTTTATAATAAATGCATCCTCGTTTATATTTGTAAATTCTTGATAATCACAGATTGTTTCAGGCTCAGCATTAAAAGTTAAATTATTGCATGGTTTAATCAATTCCATATTTTGGGGTTTACTGTCAAGATAAAGAAATAAAAACTAAGTAATAGAAATTAAAGTTTATTATATAATCAGTGGAGGTATTACCTGTACTTAGCAAAATGCACGAAATTGCTTACAAAAGCTTGTACGACTGCAGCATCTGTTGAGTTTTTATCGAAGTCTGGAAACAACAACGGTGAGCGGAACAAATAGATTAAATCATCACAGTGTACAACACCATAGTCAAAACTTTGTCGACCTCCAGTGTATATGCCGGCATAAGTATTTAATCCGCTATAATTAAATCGATACAAAAATATGGGGTATTTCTGCGTATCCACAGTATTCACATAATCCTTAATGGCATTGAAATAAGGACGATGAAAACCGCGATCTGTTATAACCTATAAGATTTCGAAAAATTTGCTTATATGTTTGTTTAAATCATATAATTTCACTTCAAAAAAAAAAAAAAATATTGTTCTTACATCAAGAAATGCTTGTGCAGTTCCAAAGTTTATTGATCTTTCTCCTTGAAAATAATAATCCACAATTGTTTGTACTTTCTGTTTAAGTTGTTCATCTGTGAACGATTCTGGAAATTCCATCATCATTTCAAATAATTTATTAAATTTAGCATTAAAATTGTTTCTCAAAACATCATTTTCCAATATCGCTAAAACGCGTACAGCACCTTCATTTGGTACAACACCAGCCAACCAAGGTACTGGCTTATAAAGCCCATTTTTAAGTATATCAGTAGGGTGAGTCACAAAAAATGCATCTCTATTATTAGCTGGTTCAATAACAGGTCTGAAATTTGTGAGATGATCCACATCCCAATATTTCAGACCATCACCAGCATTAACTAATGTTGTCGCATCAACATTACGCAGAGCACGCGTCAATTTCGCCGTACTCAATTCAAAGGCATTACTTATATTACAAAGTTCGGCAATACGACGTGCTTGTGTCAGTGGTTCATTGGTAATTGCGAAGGGTACATTAGCTGTACCACTCAATGAAATAACATTTCGAAACAGACCTATTAGTAGCAGAGGTTTAGTTTTTGATTTAACTTACTGCTTAGTATTAACGTTTACTCACCTTCAGACTGTTTGCTAAGCATATGCATATGTGCTGATATGCCTCCAGCACTTTGACCGAATATTGTTACCATTTTTGGATTTCCCCCAAATGCTGCAATATTCTTTTGTATCCAACGTAATACTAAGGTTTGATCTTTCAGTGCAAAGTTTCCAGGCATATTTTGATCATTTGTTGAAAGAAAACCTATTAGTAACGAAAATATATTATAATATTATATTAGAATATATATTAGAATACTTTCGCACATTATAAATACTTACCAAATGCACCCAATCTGTACGCAAATGTTATTAGTATAACCTCTTTTGTATCCATGAAATATTCTGGACCGTGAATACTGGGACTTGAGGAACCACTAAACCAACCACCTCCATATATATAAACCATTACAGGTAATACTTTAGAACGTACCTAATAATAAAATTAAAAATATTTAATAATAAAAAAAAAGTAAAAAAGTTTATGAGATTTACTAATAAAACAAAATAATTTTAATTTTTTTTAATTCAAAATACTAAAATACTATAAATACTATACTATTTTATATGTAATATTTAAGAATCTATAAATCTTTTACAGAGAATCATCTTCTGAATCTTCTGCCATTTTTAAAGTGATGGCGTTATTTTTATCAACCGACGGCGCTTGCAATGCTTTTCATTTTCAATATTTAAAGTTTTAGAAAGCTTCAAACCTACTCAATAGAACTTCTACTGCTAAACTCAATATAGAAAGAAATTAGAATATTTCTGTGCTTATGCCTGTCATAAAAGGCGACTAAAACCCATCAGACATTATATTATACCATTTTGGGGTATAAATGGTAGCAAATGAGTTTCAGTTGATACACCGAAGTAGAGATGTACCAAGAACTTTGGTTGCTCTTGACACTGGATTAGCTTCATACCAGAGTGTCATGGTGAATGTGGTTAACATTAAAAGACACACATCTAACAGAAGTAAAATATATTATAATAACTTTGAGATAAAATAAGACATCCTGCATAGAAATCAATAATATTTTACGAAAAGAAGTACATTCCATACAACATTTCTTCTTACAATAGATTGTTAAATTTATAGTAAAAATAAATGTCTATATCTCTAATTAAAAAACTTCTATAAACTTCATATATTATGAACTTTAGGTCGAAAAATATATAATCAATGTTTTTAGAATAAAGGCTGCAAATTATAATTTCTAAAATTTTTATAATGGGTAATTAGCTGTACACAATATGCAATATTCAGACCAAACATAGCAACAATTTTAAAGTACTAACGAATTCCACAATTATTTTAATTTTCTTTTAATATATATTTTGAGTATATTTTTTTTTTAATTTTAAACTCTTGTTAAAATATACATTTATAGGATTTCATAAAAGCATACTTACAATAGGTCTGTATAGGTTCAAGTATAGGCAATCCTCGGTTCCGTAAACTGCAGGATTCGGTACTAGATAATTTTTTTGTATGCAATCCATTCTCGGCTCAGTGGCATTAAGTATACCAGACCAACGTGGAAAAGACTTAGGGTTCTATTGTATAAAGACAACAAGAAAGAGTAATTTCTAAGTTTATTGCTTTACTAATATGTAGGAAATATATAATATAAAATTATTTAAATAAACTTACACTAAACCGTAACTCTCCCACTGGTGGCAAGGCATATGGAATGCCCAAATATGCTTCAAATCTGTCTGTTTGAAAGCCAGGCATATATTTGCCGCGCATACAGCCAACATGTAAGGCGCAAACCTTCGGCGACTTTGGTTGGCTGGGAATTGTCAACGCCTCACAAAACAAAGTCAACAAAATGAAGTACCGAAATACAGCCATTTTCTCTTTTTCTTTCTCTTTTTCTTTTTTATTTTATATTTTTAAAATTTACTTTAAAAGAATGATTTGTTGTTGTTGTTGTTGTTGTTGTTGTTATATTCGCTTTTGGTAACTGGCCGTGCGGCGTACCGTTTGTGAAACCGATTAAGCTCAGCTTATAGTTTAAGTAGCGTTTTGTATTACAAAATGTAACTGAAAAAATAAAATAAAATAAAATAAAAATAATAAAAAATTTTTTTTCAAAATTTATTGCTTATTTATTAATTTCCTATACAAATTATTATTATGAAAAAAATATAACAATGATTTCTGCATTCAACTTGAAGCGCTTTGGGGTTTCTGCCTTCGTGTGTTATATCTTTTTCTGTCATTTATTTTTTATATTAGTTTTAATGGCTTAATTTATATAAAAAAATCATTGTTACTGAAAGATTATGCCATTTCTATTTTTGTTAGACCTTTTCGTCGAAATTCGAATTTTCGATTTTATTTCGATTTTATTTTAATTTTATGTGTTAATTATTTGAGATAAAGTATAAATTTTTATTATTATTTAAATTTTAATTTGAATTTCAAACGGTTTTTATTGTGTGCGCTTATGTTTATGAGTCATTAAAGTAAGCGATTCAGTCAAGTTGACGGCAGCACGTCACAATAAAGGTTGTTTTATTTGTTATAAATCTCGGGCTATTGAATATGAATGAGTTTCAATCTGTTGTCAGATGGCATTTGAAAAAGAAATATAGTTTTTACCATTCACATATGTGCAGATATTCACGAAGATATTTGTAATATTTATAAATACTTTTCAGCACGTGAATAATGATGGTGACATGTGTGCTTATATCCGGCCATTGAGAGCTTATAGAATAAATGTGTCAATCAATTAATTGATTATGATTATGATTTATAAGAGTATTGTTTGTTTTGTAAATGATTAACTTAAACGGATTTGTAAGACAATATAAACAGGTACGAATTTTTTTTTACAAATAAGCTTGCTGACGTCTTTAAATACCGGTAACAGTTATATTTTGGTTCAAAATGATTGCTACCTGAACTCGTACATGTGACGAACGCTTAGAATTTATTAGCAAAAGTATTATCTATTTTTAAGGGGACAAAGAATGAAAATTAAATTACCTATTATATTATATAAATAATAGAATTTTACAAGTAACATATAAATTAGAAACATTACACCGTTTAATGTATTTAAAATAGATATTTTAGTTAAATAAGGGAGACATTGAAATTAGTACCATCTCAATAATAATATATGAATCTTTATTTTATTTTTATTATTAATAATTATAACTTACAATTACAGTGAATATCATAATCATTTCATAATCATAATCAAATAAAGTGACATACCTTAGTATACACTTGCATACAGAACTGTTATTTTAAAAATGTACGTTGAAATCAAAATAATATAGATGAAAATGAAAGTATCCAGTTTCCACTATTTTATTTGCTCAAGGTCCTCACCGAGTCTAAAATGTAAGAACCTTTAAAATAAAAGCATACCCACAATAAACTGATGTTAGTAACTGACTAAACTACCAACATTTTCTTAAAAAAGTAATTGATTAAAGTAATGTACTATTAACCATTAATGAACCTTTAATATATACATCAAAGAAATCCTCTTTTACAAGTAGGAGGTCGGGTGGCATCTTAATAAAAGAACTAGAATAATGCAGCGAAACCATAAGCAGTCAAAGTTGAGTGTAATCTAACTTATAATACCGTAATTTAACTTATCTAAAATAATTTACAGAAGAACACAAGTACCAGCAACATTTTAAATAATAATATATTCCAGTTTCTGATTTTAAAATTAGATTCATACATTGTCCCTTGAATTAAACAGCTAAATAATTATTATTAAAGTTAATCACTTAATATAAAAAATAAATATCTTACAAGAGTTTGAAAACGTTTAAACTCGTTTCTATTCAATAAATAAAGAAAATATTTGTTATTATGTATTTACTATTATTTATTAATGGTATGTCACCATTTATACATCAATATCTTACAGTCAGTAGGATGGATGATTTTCAGGTATTTCAACTAAAGGAAATATCTACCAAAAATATCTAAATAAAATTACTCGATGATATCGTGCTGTATTTCACATATTAGTACCAAATTTTGACTAAATTTTAATTTAACTTTGACTACAATTATGGATATAAATAATAACAAAAATCAGTTACGATTTTTAAGCTTATATGACAGTCAACATATATGATATAGTCAACAGATTTTCATCAATTGAACAAATATTTCATGTTGTTTCCTAAATAGCCTATTTGTAAAATTGAGAGAGAAACCTAAATTAAATAAAAGTAAAAATATCTAAAAATGCTAAGAGCTTCTTAATTTTATCAAATTGATCAAGAAAAAAGACTTTCAAATTAAAAATTTTTTAATAAATTTTTAATATTAAAAATTCAATAATAATAATAGTACATTAATTATTAAATTATATTTATTGATAGTATATTTTAAAATTATTATGCGTTAACAAAATTTTATATTTTATGATAAATTTTTTCTTTTTGATCTTTAAACACAAAAAATCAAGGTTGACCTTGTTGCAGTTGTTGACATTAACCAGGTGCACTTTATATATGCATAATTATTAAAATTTTTTTAGATTATTTAATTAACTATTTTTAATCATTTATTAACCAATAGTAAAACCATAAACAATAAGTCAAAAATTTATGCCAAGGTAACCCAATTATTTTTTCTTAATAAAAACTGCAGTGGTCAAACAAAACGTAGGCATATGTTAAAAAAATTGCAATTTAAAGCACATTTAATAGTAACAACCAGTCTTTATTGATATTGCAATCTATTGAAATAAAAAAAAAAACAATTCATAAAGTTGTCTTGCCTCTTACAATATCGGAATATTATCTACAATAAAATTCACATTTTAAGTCGGATTGTTCTGAACTAGGAAAATTATTGAAAACATTCTTTATAAAATATTTTCATTTTTAATAAGAAGTATAGGCATATATTAATCGTTAGATGACCGCACGACGATTTTAATTTTTAGTCAAAATTCCTCCCCAATAATTCATTTTTTTTCAAAGCATTTAATTTTCATTATGTTTATATTAGACTTTTTAAAGATGGTATATAATTCTATATTTTCATGGAAATATAGTTGAAATTTTTTATTATTTTCAAATTTTTAAATACACTGAGATCTCATATCAAAATAATAAAGTTCAACATGGCACATGGCTAGCCTCACAAGTAAAAAATATTACTCATACGCAGTGGGTACACATAATTTATTTTAGTTCCAAACTATTAAATTAATATAAAAAAGAATAATATTAAGTATAAATAAATTTATTATATTATTATAATTAAAAAAGATTAAATTGTGTGCCTTATATTGAAATGCGTTAGCTTCAGGAGGTGTTCCTTTGATCCAAGAAATAACCAAAATTATATAAATGTGTGATCTATTTTCAATATTTATCGAGATAAACCAAAAGCTATTGAAAAGCAATTGATTTACAAGCTATTGAAGTGTAAATTAAATATGTGAAATTATTGCAAAAATATGCTTCACAGCCATCTATATTTCAAGCTAAAACCGAAATGTTGATATTAGACTACCACATACGTATGATACTTAATAATATTAACTACACTGCAATATATAAAAAAATAATTAATAATAGTAATCACGTCTTGTGTTATGTTAAAAAATCAAGATACCATTCACAATATAATCAAATATTGCAGTTGTTAGTTTATTGTTAAATATATTTTCTTAGAATATTCAATAGTTCAGTATCAAACCCAAATTTAGACCCCATATACTGCTGTTAATACATAAAAAACTAGTAAAGAAACTGAAATCTACGGTTTGTAGATTTTACACCGGTAAAATTGAAATTACAAAAATATACTTAATAATAAGTTGAGAAAGGTATATAACATATATTATATATTGGCAATATTTCTACAAACGAAATCTGTATATTAAAATAATAATGGAATTTAAGGGGCAACAATCGATCAATTAACCAAAGTTATTCTTATTGAAGTTCTCAATAATGATACAGAACAATATTTATGCATGATAGATATAATATAAGCCCTACATAGTTCATGCTACTATCAAGTATATGTTATGATATGTTATTGATGAGATAATTTTTTATATTTTAAATGCATATTTAATGCCAATTTTGATTAAATTAAAATTAAAATTAAAATAATTTTCAAATCATTTTATATTTCATAATAATATGTTTATATAAAATAATTAGTAATGTTATGTTATTAGTCTTTAAGATTCTAAAACTTATTGTTAGGTTTTAATTTAAAGCGATTTAATAAAAACATATTGTTAAATAAAAAAAAAATATTTTTTTATTCATATTTATATATTTTTATATTAATATAAAATACAATATAAACACAGTATAGAGTAAAAGTTCAATTCTACAACTATAAGTAATTCAATTCACAAATTTCAAACAGTAGCATTAATAGTTTATATAAAAATAAAATATATCCTAAAAACTTTTCAATGAATATCACTACTAATGGTATTCTAAAGGTATTTTAATGGTGTTGGTTAATGGTATTCTGAGTAGCTATATAGTCAGTCGGATAGAGTATTTAAATAATAATCGTAATTTATTTCACGATTTCTAAAGTTATTTTTTTATTAAGATTAAAAATTTTATTTAATAGATTATATTTACTAACAAACTGTTATTATCAGCATTGTATTCTTATAATTTTTTATAGTTTGATTTTATATAAATTATCTCACATATATACAATATAATAAATATTTCTGGTTTAGTTTACGAATGTCTAAAATAAATATACAATAAAATTTTAATTGCATTTAACTACTTGCTTTTAATTATTTTTATATTTTTAATATTTTTTTTTTACTATTTTTTATTTTATTTAACTTTATTTTTGAGAATATGTATTTTAGGAATTTTTTTTGATATAATATTATTTAATATTATATTTATTTAATGAATTCTAGTTGAATTTTGTAATATTCATTATTACACTTACAGTTTTAATGTAGAATTATTATTTAAATTATTTATATTATTTCATTTAATTTTATTTTTGAGAATATGTATTTTATGAATTTCTTTTGATATATTGTA